TTAGGAGCCAGCATTTTGAGAAAGGGCAAAATTTCCCTTCCTTCCCTGCCTAGTTGGCTTGTACTTTGCTGTTGGCATTTCTTTAAGATAAAAGGAGGAAGGAACTGGAAGAAGAAGAAAACTACAGAAAGAAAGAACAGCTAGTGTCCTCTCTGGCTCACTGTCTCCTTCACAGGATCCCGGGGGAGTATGGCCGTGTCCACTGGTGTCATGGCAACAGGAAACGCCGTGTTTCGGGTCCAGCCCGGAGCCGCGGGATCTATGTAAGGGTTTCTGTGCAGACTGAGGCGCCACCTCCACGTTGTAAAGTCCCCTCTGACTACCAGCCTGCCTTGTTCCATCTGCACCAGATAAACTCACACCCACGGACGAGCAGCTGAGGCCTGACATCAGGCAGGAATGGGGAAAGCGAGCCTGCAGATGGGGCCGCTCCCCATTCAGAGATGCCTATCCTCAAGGGATTTTTGGCATTTTGGAAATACAGCCCAAGCCTCTCATAACCATTAAATGTTTCCAGATGGATATTGGCTCTCTCTGCCTCGTGGACAAAGAGTATTGTTAGGTGCTCCCCATGTAGCATCATAGATCAGACAAACACCAGCATTATATAAATCTTACACGTCCACTAGGACATATTTTCTGCAACTGAGTGGCTCAAGTAAGCCTCTAGGGGGCTTATTAAAAATGATGAATGCAAAAATAATTTTTAAGCCTCCTATGTCTCCCTGTAGCCTCAAGGATCAATTCCACATTCTTTATAAATGACATTCAAGGCCGGCATGGCCCCTTCTTTGCTCTCTAACAGCCTGACTGCCCTCCCAGTTCCCGAAGTGGCTCTGTCCCTGTGTCCTTTCCTTCTTCACAAATTATTGTTTTCCAACCTGTCAGTTAAACGAATCCAAGCCTCTTCCAGTCCCCACACCCAGGCCTATCTGACCATCCCCCCCTTTGCCATCACTGTATCCTCTAGAGCAGAGGTTCTAATTTGGCTGCAAGACGGAGTCACTTGGGAGCTTTAAAGAAACATTGATATCAACTCAGCCCAATTAAATCAGAATGTGGATGAGTGAAGTGTCTTGCGTATTATGAGAGAGCCATGGCATGTGGTGGAATGCAAATGCAAGGCCTCTGCACTCAGAATTCCTGGTTTAAGTCCAGCTCCTCTTCTTTCCAGCTTTGTAGGTAACCTTGGGCAAAGTACCTAACCGCTTCCCAACCTCTAAAATTAAGGCAAGAAAAACCCCTACCTGATCAGGTGGTTGTGAAGATTACCTGAGTTAATATATTATTGACGCTTAGTATGTGCTCAATTAATGTTTGTCGTGATCTGTGCATCAGTCTCCCTCTAAAAGCCTCAAAGCAGCTTGATGACAGGATCTGTATCGTGTTCCTGTCTGCCCAGCATGGAGTACACACACAATTTTTTTTTCTGAATGATTAAATGGGTGTATGAATAAAGATAAATTTTGACATTAGGAGATCAAGAAGATTTACATAGAAGAGGTGGCCCATGAGCTGAACCTTGACAGATGGATAGGCTGTGAGAGGCAGATGAGGAGAGGTAAGGTATTCCAGCTAGAACAGTAATAAGAGCATGAGCCAAGGCACTGATATGCATGGTGTAGAGAAAAGACCCAAAGCCTGGGGTGTACTGGGTCAGAGGAGGGGATTACAGAAGAGAATTGCAGGGAGATGGTTTGAAAGGTAAGTTGGACCATTTCATGAAGAGTTTTTAATGCCTCACTAAGGAATTTGGGTTTTATTCTGCACAGAACGGGGGAGCTGCGAAAAAGAATTCTGAGAGGGTAAATGCATAATCAGACCTGTGCACGAGAAAGCTGATTCTTTCCAGCTGGAGAGAGGGTGACCTTCAGCAAGGAAAGCAAGGAGCAGTTTAGGAGATTACGGTGGCTTCTCATTTGATATCAATACTGTCTGTATATAGTACATCTACCCAAGAGACTATCTTATTAATTTCTGATTTATTAACATATGTGCCCAGGGTAAAGAGTTACATAGAACAAAACTGTAAGACTCACTCCCATCTCTGATCAGCACTTACCCTGCTCTCTTTCCCTGAAGCAACAACTGTTATTGAATTAAAAAGAATTAGGAGAGTACTATGGACAATTTTACACCAACGAACTGGATAATCTAGATGAAATTAACAAATTCCTAGAAACATAAAACCTACCAAAACGAATTCAAGAAGAAATAAAAAATCTAAATAGCCCTACGAGTAGTGAGGCAAAGACAGCAACGACAAAACAGACAAGTTGGACTTCATGGAAATTAAAAAGTTTTTGCATTGAAAGCCACTATCAGTCAAGCGAAAAGGTAACACATAGAATGGGAGAGAAGACTTGCAAATCACATATCTGATAAGGGATTAATACCCAGAATATATAGGTAACTAAAATTAAACAGCAACAACAGCAACAAAACAACATGATTAAAAACTGGGCAAAGTACTTGAACTGACATTTCCCTAAAGAAGATATAAAAATGGCCAACAAGCAAATTAAAGATGCTCGCCATCACTAATCACTAGGGAAATGCAAATCCGAGCTCCGATGATTCTACCTCACACCCCTTAGAATGACTATTATCCAAAGAAACAGACAACGGCAAGCGTTGGCGAGGATGTGGAGACACTGGAGCCCCTGGGCAGTGTTCGTGGGGTTGCAGAATTGCATAGTCACTCTAGAAAACACGGCGCAGGTTCCTCAAAAAATTTTAAAAAAATAGAATTACCATATGATCCAGCAATCCCACGCTGGGTATACGCCCAAAAGAACTGAAAGCAGGAGATACCTGCACACCCATGTTCATAGCAGCACTACTCACGATAATTAAAACCTGGAAGCAACGTGAGTGTCTGTGGACTGATGAATGACCAGCCAATGAATAAATAAACAAAATGGGGTATATACAGACAGTGGAACATTAGTCAGCCTTAAAAAGGAAAGAAATTTGGACATGTATTACAATATGGATGAACCTTGAGAATATTATGCTATAGAAATAGGCCAGTCACAAAAAGATAAATACTACATGATTCCACTTATATGAGGCGCTTAGAGTAGTTAAAATCTTAGAGGCAGAAAGCAGAATGCTCACTGCCAGGCACTGGGGGAACAGGAGAATGGGGCGCTAGTGTCTAACGGCACAGAGCTTTAGTTTTACAAGACAGAAGGTTCTGGAGATGGATGGTGGTAATAATAGCACATTATGAATGTGTTTAATACCACTAAACTGAAAAAAAGGGAACATCTGTAATACTTTCAACAATAAAGATAAATTTTTTTAAAAAATGGCTAAGATAGTAAATTTTATATTTGTGTATTTTACCATAATAAAAAAATTAAGAGAGAAAAATTGCAAAAAAACATAAACAGAAGGCCATATTGTCATTGGTTAGCAACTTGCTCTTTTCTGGCTCTGGGCAACAATAGATCTAATTAAACTGGCTGGCTACTCTACTTACACTCATGTATGTTTTTATTTCACGATCAGGCTTCATTCGCCTCACCAAAACTTCATATTCAGGACTCTTTATGTCACCTCTCACGGCACAATCCATAAATTTATGAATCAGTAACACATTCTTTTGGAAACCCCCATTGTTCCACTTTTGCTAGAGCCGTGGCGAGCACGTGAGGAATCAAGGCTCCAACGTCACCACCGCGCACCCCACAGCTCCGTGACACCAGGCCACCCTCAGGGACTGCCAACAGTGCCCCTGGCTGTCCCTGTCCCAGCCTCTTGAATGGTTGAGAGAGGGTTTGAATTTTTTTCTCACACATTTCAAAAGGCACATTTACATTTTAAGTGTATGAATAAATGGGCTGAGCAAGGAGAGAAACTGAAATTGTAGGAAGGAAGACACAAAACCTTCCGATTCCAAGAGACACGGCGCAGATGGACCAATCTCAGAGGGAAGGGGGGGAGTAACCAAAGAATTTATATGCACATATCCACTGACCATGGACTCGGACAACANACAAAATAGAACCAGTGGCATGGAAACATGGAACAGACTGAGGGATCTTGGAGGGAAGGGGGGAGGGGTGGGAAGAAATTAACAAAAGAACTTACATGCATCTGTGCATTGCCCATGGACACAGACATTAGGGTGGTGAAGGCCTGAGGGGGGGACTGGGTGGAAGGGGCAATGGGGGAACTAAAGGGGGGGCACCTGTAATACTCTCAACAATAAAGATTATTTTCAAAAGAAAAGAAAAGAGATTTTGGAAGCCTTGCTCTACACCACTGGTTCTCAAACGTGGCCGCACGTTGGAATAACCTGGGGAGAATTTTAAAAGCTTGACACCCAGACTCCACACCCGAGAGGTTCTGACTCGGTTGGTCCGAGGGCAGCCTGGGCATGAGAGTGTTTTAAAACCCCCGGGTGATTCTAACACGCCGCTAGGTTCGGAACCACTGCTCTGTAAACTCCTCTGTTGCCCTTATGGGGCCTGCACACCCTCATGTTATGGTGATTTGTGGCCACGTACGTTTTCCCACTTCTATTAAACTATGCTTTTTAAGAGCAAGAATTGTTTTTTAATTCCATTTTTATCACCTCCTACCAAACAATACCTAGCCATATGATAGGAATTTAATAAATATTTACCGAATGGATGAACAAATTATTTGTCATCTAAACATATTCTCTCAATAACCGAAGTGTGGCTTTTGTCCTTGTTTGAAGACCGGTTGAAATGACTTGAAATCGTCAGGTTATTTCCTCTTTGGTTCTTAGCAAAGACCAGATCCCTGAAGCCCAGGAGGCTGGCGGCCAGACGGGTTTTCTGATCGCGAAGAGGCTCTGGGTCCCAGGCGCTGGCCGCTGCCGCCCGCATGAGCTGGTGCAGGAGGCGGCAGCCTAAATCCCAGGGCTCCAGGGGGCAATGCACCCCGAGGCAGCCCGCCCCGCGCCCTGCACCCCGAGGAACTCCTGCTGAAATGTGACTGTGTTCCTGTTTCTTCCCCGCCAGGGTGCCGTTTTGATATTTATGGTGATTGTTGTCCTCACTATGAAGTCATCTGTTATTGAAATGTTCCTTGGTAAGTACTTTTATATGTGTATCTGGACACACTGTTAACATTCTCCTAAGGCCCGAAGAATCCTGCCAAGAAAAGCATATAAACAGCACAGAGTATCTTTTTATGATAAACCTTTTGGAGAGAAGCTGAAGTGAGAATGTTAAGTGTAGATCAAATTCAGGGCATATGTGTATATATATTTTTATATACAGCAAGGACACCCATTACATTAGAGTGCCTCTACATATTATAGACACATATATACACACATATCTGTGTGTGTATTTTTCAGCAACTAAAAAAAATTTCAGATAGAGCATATTTACAGATTCTGAATTTAGAGAGCTTTCTATTTCTTAATCTCTCAAAAAAAAAAAATTGCTTCACTGCCAATGGCCTTACTTGTAGCATTGGCAACTCATATCTTATAGATGAAGCCCTTTACACCCAGCTTTTGTCACCAGAGAATGCAACTTCAGGCAGGTCTTCAAGAACCAGGGGGTCAACCAGAGGGCGGAAGAGCGCTGGTGGGTGCAGCACTGAAATGGGGGGCAGTCACCTCTTAATCTTGACCCCGCTGTGCTGCGGACTTGTCAGGTGGGCCACTGAAACCACCGCCGGGAAAGACTTTCAGACGATCTGCACAAGCGTGCTAGGGCTGCCATGACAAAATGCCACAAAGCGAGGGCGTGGGACAGCCAGATTTGATCTTCTCGTGACTCTGAAGGCCGGAAGTACAAACGCAAAGTGTCAGCCGGGTTGGTTTTCTCGGGGGTGAGGCCTGCCCCGTGCCTCTCTCCTAGCTCCCGTGTTTGCTGGCGATCTTCCGCGTTCCTTGGCATCGACCCAATCTGTCATCAGTTTCACATGGCAACCTTCATGTGTGTGTGTCTGTGTCTGTGCGTGTGTGTCCACACGTCCCCTTTTTATAATGACACCAGTCAGTCCTATTGGATTAGGGGCCCAACCTCCTCTGGTATGACTAATTACATCTGCAATGGCCCTATTTCCAAATGAGGTCACATTCTGGGGCACTGGGGGCTAGGACTTCAACGTGTGGATTGGGGGAGGGGATGCACTTCGACCCATAATATTTCAGAATGTCAAGGCCTGTGCAGAGGGAGCCTGTGCAGAGACTGCCCCTGCCTTCGGATGCCAGTCATGAGTCCAGGTTGTTACCTGTGTGTCCCACAACCCCTTTTTGGACTCAGTTAATTTGCTAGGGTGGCCTACACTACTCAGGAAACCCATTTACTCACTAGATTACTGATTTATTACAAAGAATATTAAAAGATATGAATCAACAGCCAGATGAAGAGATACATAGGGCGTGGTCCTAAAAGAGGTTCAGTCCTCATGGAGCTTAGGGCCTGGCTCGGTGGCACACAGAAATATTCTGGTTCCCTCACCCAGAAGTTCTGCAAACCTCAGTCTTTTTATTTTTATTTTTTATGGAGGTTTAATTAGATAGACATGATTGATTAACTCATTGGTGATTGATACAACCTTCAGCCCCTCTCCTCTCTCGGGAAATCAAGGGAAAGTTCCAACCCCCTATTCACGGTTGGTTCCCCTGGCAACCAGCTCCCTTATCTTTAGGGGATTCCCAAAAGTCATCTCATTACCATAAACTCAGAAGTGGTTGAAAGGGACTTGCTATGACTAATACGACACCCATGTCACCTTTATGACTCTGAAGCAATTTCAGCAACTGAGGACAAGAACCCAAGTCCATATTATAACAGAAGATGCCCCATTGCTCTTATCGCTCAGGAAATTCTGGGGTATATATTTTAGGACAAAGAATAGAAATGTTTTTAAGGCCATTGAAATGTATTACCAAAGGCTTTCCAGACTGACCCTACCTTCTTAGACTCTACCAACAGTGACTGGAATGCCCTAGCCCCAAATCCATGCCAGGAGTAAGTCTAATCTTGTGTCTAATCAATATTTACTTTCATGATAAGGGGAAATATGTCATCACTTTGTTGTAGCTTGCATTCATTTTATTTTAGCTTGTTTTTTTTTATCATTAATAAGACTGAGCACTGTTTCAAGCTAATTCACTTATATTTTCTTTACCTATAAATTATTTAAATTGAATATGAAGACAATCACACCTCAGCTATGATAGCTGTATTGATGGCCACACCAGAGAGGAAGCGAGAGAAGTGGGGGGGAAGTTTTTTATTGGAAAAAGTAATTTAAATATTTAATTTGTTTTGAAATTTCAAGCACTCCTAAGGAAAGGTAAGAACTTCCCATGTTATCCATGAGAGGGATTGCTGCAGAGCTGGTCAGTCATGACTGCCTTGGAACTTTGGGGTCTAGACATCATTCCCTCAAGGCTCCTGGAGACTAATGGCCTCAGAGCCAGAGGATGAACTGCTCCCCCAGGAGGGACTGGCTTTCTCACCTGGGTCTCACTTTGTACTGTGAAGTGAGCATCAGCATTTCAGCGCTCTGACTGGCTTCCTAAGGAAAGGGGCACAAGACTGATTTTTCTCTCACCCAAGTCCAACATCCAATTCACCATTTCAATGTGAGGAGTCTTGCTGATAAGGAAAGATAACTCTCTCCAGGGCACAAGCACATCTGCAGCCTTATTGATCAGCCCTCCCCCTGAGGAGTGACCCCTGGNCTCTCTCCAGGGCACAAGCACATCTGCAGCCTTATTGATCAGCCCTCCCCCTGAGGAGTGACCCCTGGGGAGCTTTAATTAACAAGCATGGAAGACAGGGGCTGGCCTCTGTGTGCCATGGAAAATAATGACTTTATTAGCCGTGGCTGTAAAACTGAACCCAGCTCTGCATGTTCTCAGCCTGGAGGGTCTTGGGTGAGCAAATGCAGGTGATGGGATGGTCTTACGGAAATATTTATAGTCCTAGTGATACCAGGGCTTATAAATCACTTGCCACAGACACACAGGCTCAGGACAAGATTTGGTTTTCCACAAAAAATGGATACCCAAATTTATTACTATTTCACTTACTCCATTCGCTCACCTTGTATCATTTACTTTCTATATATTTACTTTGTACTTGTTTAAAAAAAAAAAATTTCAAGGATTCGTTATTTATTTTTGTCTATAAAATGAAAATGTGGCCTCTGCAGCGTTAAATGACACAGAAGCTACTATAAAAATTAGACCTCCGGGACACTCACACCCCCCCAAACCCCAGAAGTAAACACCACCTACAAAAATGTCTGCCTTCATTCTGCTTGGCTGCAGTTTGGGTCTCACTGAATTCCCTTTCATGTTTCTGTTCTCACAGGACATCATATGTCAACCATCCCGGCCTCAGCTAATGCTAGTTGTCAAAACTGGGGATAATTCAGTGGCTGCATCATTGGCAGATTAGCTGGAGAATCATAAGATAAATAAAAAGTTTCCATAACAAACACTTGGAGACATTGCCTCTTTTTACTCTAAAGATAGTTTCCAATTCAAGAATTTCTAAGTCCAGTTAGGCCTCAATTGAGGCTCTGTATTCTGCTAAAAAACAAACGCAAAAACTAGGGAGGAAAATGCCTATTTCGATTATTCTATTGCCTCATGGTCACCTCCAGAGTCCTAACCTTACCCAGAAAGTAGGTTTCTCAGAAAAGTGGCTTAAATGGAGGTAAGTGAAAGCAGTACCCGTTTTGAGTGGATAAGGAGAGGGGGTGCCTGTAGAGGGAAGAGTAGAGAACTGACCAGCCCTTTGGGAGGAAAAACCTTGCTTTGCTGTCTACTGGTGGGATTAGCATAGGTACAGAGAAGTGAGAATTTTGCCAATAAAAAAATTTCATAATATAAATAAAAATGTTAAGTGGGCATAGCTTTCAGATAAGAAATTATATCTGGAGATTTGTTTGAAGGAAATAATAATGGATCAGTGCAAAATGAAGCTATTTATGTTAAATTGGGAATTTGGCTAAATTATGATATATGCAAATAGTATGTATATTTATAGGCAGTTAAAATTATTGTAAGAGTAACACTAGATGACCAATAAATGCCTGTATGTATCCTTAAGTAGAAATAAGTTCTAAAATATTGTAAACAGAATGAACATGATCATATATTCATTTGAAAGTACCCCTATGAATATGTATATCCATATAGAAAAAGACTGAAAATACACTTTTGTGTTCATCCATATTTCCTATACTGCTTTTTGTGTTCTTTACATTTTTCTACAAGGAACATGTATTATTTTGGTAATAAGAAAAAAATCTGTCAGTTATTTTTTAAAAACATGAGGCTTAAACTGGTAATGTGACTTTATTTATTTATTTTATTGATTTCAGAGAGAGGAAGGGAGAGATAGAAACACCAGTGATGAGAGACTCATTGATCCACTGCCTCCTGCGCGCTGACTGGGAATCGAACTGCGATCGCCTGGATCGTAGGGCAATGCTCAACCGCTGAGCCACACCGGCCGGGCAGTAATGTGGCTTTAAATTTAAAAGGGTAATGTCCTGGCCCATGTGACTCAGTTGGTTGAGTGTAGTCCCCTGCGCTGAAAGGTTGCTGGTTTGATTCCTGGACAGAGCACATACCCAGGTTGTGGATTCAATTCCCCATCCGTGTGCATGCAGGAGGCAACCGATTGATGTTTCTCTCTCTCTCTCTCAAAAAAAAAAAAAAAAAAACAATAAAAATGTATTTTAAATTTTTAAAAAAAATGAATAAAGAGGTTCCCTCTTCTCCCCCTATTGTTACACTTCCTGAGAACAGCATCCAAATGCTGTCTGTGGCTCTGGATGGACCACCTGGGGACACTCAGGTCACACCTCAGATCTCGTGACCAGTCTCTTTCTGCTCCCAGTCACCTGTCCCCTTGGCTTCCTTTCCCAGACAGCCCTTCTCTGGGGCTTTTTCATAGCCCCTCCATCTCCCCTCCCTCTGTCCCACTCTCATGTGCACACTCACACACGCACACACTTGAGCATGCCGTTCTCTGGCCGTTTGGAAACTCAGTGCGACACGGAGGAAAGAACACGAGAAGTGCTCATCGGCCTCTGTCCTTCACCCCTGGGACCAAGCAGACCGGGGCCCCTCCTTTGCAGAATGGAGCCAGCAGGGTTGGTGTGTTGAAATGTAAAGACAGCCAGACAAAGGCTGGCATCCGAAAGGCATTTCTAAAGAGACCTTTCTCAACAGAGGCCAAGCATACAGGAGATATATCTTATTTCTTAACCTTAATATAAGGGAAAATTAGTTTAACTAATGAGAATACTCTAATATGTGATCAAAGCAAGTATCAAGGTCAAGAGAGAGGAAGTGTGTGGGTGAAATAATATTGATTAGTTATTTTGTATTTTCTTCATGTAGTTTTGCTGGTGACTGGAATACATTCAAATAAAGAAATGACAAAGAAGACTAAAAGGCCTAAATTCAGTAAGTAAAACTAATTCCTCACTGACATAAGGCTTGTTTCTCCCAGGAGGAGGGCTATTGTACTTGTTTTAGATAATCTGGAAGGTTGTTTTGGTTTTGTTTTTTTCCCTTATCTCAATTACTCTGCACTCAGACTAATTAATAATTATTCTTATTTATCACCTACCCCATTCCAAAAAGCATTTGAGACAGGGGTCCTGAGTTTAGGGTGAAAGATATGTGGTTCCATTACACTAGAAAAATTCAAAATACACATACAAAGACCAGGCAACACTATGTCTCTATGGCTAAGCTGGAGTCGGTATCTTCCTGCCATTGAAACGATGTCCCAGTTCCCCATACCAGAAAATTCAGCCTGTCCAATGCAAAGGTCCAGCAAAGCTGCCCGCCTTCCAGCATGGCCTGGAATCAGAAGGTCAGTTTCCCAGAAAAGCCCATGAGGTTTCACACCCACTCCATGGAAAGAGGAAAATTAAATTTTGTTTTTGGGGTGGTATATCAGTTAAGATTCGATAACAGAACATCTAAAATAACAGTTGCTTCAATAAGACAGAAGTTTCTTTCCCTCTCCTGTAAACATAGTCAGCCTGGGCTTTCAGGGAAGCGTCGCAGTCTTCAGGGACCCAGGCTCCTCTTCCTTGTCATTTGGCTTTTCTCAGTGGGGCCCCAGGCCACTGTCTAAACAGCCCCCCAGCTTCGTCCACCACGTTCCCATTCCCGTCAGTGGGGAGGCCTGGAGAAGGCACATACCCACTCCCCTTAAAGACGAGTCCAGAAAGTCCAAGTACCACTGCCGCCTAAACACTGTTGGCGTCATTAAGGGAGGGTGGGACAAGCACCCACACTGCTGGGAAAGAAAGGAGGACAGATGATGGGAAATAATAGTAGGACAGGACAGGACCCGGGTGGGAAATCTCACACCAAACGCCGTGAGCACAGGGAGCTCCTGCCTGGAGCCAGATTCGTGGGCTTGGTGGAAGCTTGATTAAGGTATATGTAGAGAGGCCCATACAAGAAGGGCCTTGGCTATGATCAGAGCTCTGCGCTCTCCACAACCGAAACTTCCTCCCAGGCATTACATTTAGGTGCCTTGAAATCAGCAACATTAATAACTTGAAACAAAAGAGAGAGATTTGCTTCACACACCATTCTTTTTTTCTTCTGCTCCTTCATGCGCGCCATGTGGGATTTCCTGTTGAAATGAGACCAGGAGGGCGGCCATCCACAGCCTCCTAGCCTGAAACACTAAAAAGGAATCCGTTGTTTATTTATTCCTGTCAGGACCTAGAGCCAAGAGAATCGGCCCAGGGGCAGATGTGTGTTCAAAACAATGATCGGGTTAATATGGAGACAAATGCACACCCAAGTATAAATTCCTTTGGGTTGTTTTCAGTGTCTTCATTAACTCATACACAGAAATCACGAAAATCCATGATTACCATAACAACAGTTTTCAGTGACTAAGAAAGTCTGTGCTAAGTGACCCAAGGGCAAACCTCTTTGAGAGATCTCACATGGATTGAATTTCTGATATGCTGAATTCTACCTTTCTTCTCAAAATCTCCCCAGCGATTCAAAAGCAGCACATTTGAATCAATAAGTGCACGAGGCCTTTTTCTCTAATTAGAAACTCTGGCACAATCACTAAATAAAGGGGGAAAAGATACAACGAAGGTAATAGGATAGTCCCAAACCATGGCAATATCTGATTCTTTACCTTGGGGATAGTTCCAAATTATAGTCTATAACTTGAGGCCAAAGTAATTTTCATTTTTTTCCACTCAGTGTTGTCAATCTGCCACTGGGGTGAGTGATGACAAGGGAGGCACATCATTCATTCATCTGACACGCATTTATTAGGTGCCAGCCAAGCACCGGGTGCTGTATTTAAACACACAGATACAACAGCAATGGAGACTTAGCTTTTGCCCTAAGAAAGCTCAAAACCTAGGGAGGAAGAAAGACAAGTCAACGGGCAATTACGATGTGTTATGTAAGTACCAGGACTCAGGAGCTAAAGGTACTCTGAGAAAATGGAGAAGCAGCTGTGTATCTGGGAGGGCTTCCTGGAGAAAGTGACACACTGATATCTGGAGGCCATATAGGAATTGGCCAGGCAATAAGGAGAAAAGAGTGCCACAGCAGAGAGAAAACTGCACGCTCAAGTTCTGAAGAGTAGAAAGAGCTAAAAAGAAAAAAAAAGTAGGTAAGTATGACTGAAATATAGAGTAGGAGGTAAATGTGTTGAGATAAGAGATGGAGGGGTAAACAGGCGCCAGATCCTGAAGATCTACTTGTTACGGTGTCCAGGAATCTGGACTTCATCATAAAGGCAACAGGGAGTGTTTCAGTGCAGGTTATTTTGGATGCAATTAGCAGAAATCCAGGGCCAATTTGCTTCAGCAATGAAAGGGAATTAGGCAGGATATGGGGTCACTTGCAGAACCCAAGGCAGGGACAATAGCTAGAACTCACTGGGATCATCCCCCAGATGGAAAGACCTCAGGAATCAGCAGCTCTGCTTCTCTGTGTTTGCCTCTCTCTCTGTGCAGACCATTCTCTCAGTTAATCCCAGGCTCCTGGGGGGTGGGGAGCGTAGGGGTGGATAATTTAATTGCATCAGCCTAGGTGGCACAGCGGTTCGGCAAAGAGTAAAATGAATAGGGGTGTGTTCGAGAAATAAAACAATCCTGCCATAGAAAAAAAAACCCTTTGTACCAACATATAAAGAGAAAAGAGAGAGAACACAATTTATTAGTGAGTGAGCGTTTCAGATTTACACCCACGTACAGGTGGGATGAAAGTGTCTACCAAGAATTGCACACAGATTTATACAGTAAAGTGGAAAACAGAACAATTACAACTTCTCTTATCTCCTTGAGAGATAAATACACACACCTCACAATCGTCTCTAGCAGACCTAGACGCCTCTGACTCCTTCTGGAGGTAAGTATTTATGGATCATTTTACTCTTACAGTTGACACCTCAAAATATATCTTACAAAAGGAGCCACTAAAGGGTTTTAAGCAGAAAAGCAAAATCATAAAAGCAAATCACTTTAAACAAATCACTTTGGCTTCAGTGTGAAACGAACTAGGTCAGTGGTTCTCAGAGGGTGTTCCTGGGCCAGCAGCATCAGCATCGCCTGGAACCTTCTGCCCCACCCACCCCAGGCCCCTGCATCCAGAGCTCGAGGGGGAAGGGGGAGGGCGGCAATCTATTTTAACAAGCTCTCCAAGGGATTCCCATGCCCAGTAAAATTTGAGAACTGGTGGACTAGAGAGAGAACCAAGGTGAGGGCAGCTTCAAGGTGGGAGTGTGAAATGGAGTGTGGACAGGCTCTGCTCAGCGGCCTCTGACCCCCTCTAGCCAGCCCTCAATTTTCTCCCGTGTTTGTTTAAGACTAAAAGTCTCGCCACCCAGAGGACTGAAGGTAAAATACCGAGGAGGAGGCAATTTGAGCGCTTGGGTCAGTGGTCAGTTCAGTGACCCCAACTCCACATATGGCACTGCTCTCAGCCTTTGGGGATCTATTGCCCACGATACGGCCCAACCAGCTGGCAGAGCCAGGCTGGAAACTCGGGTCCAGTGAGGTTCGACCCTAGACACTGTCCCAATGCCGCCTGGAGGTAGATGAAGGCGTTGGATGATCAGGGGCTAATGAATGGGAAATAAAGCAGAAGCGGTGTGGTGGAAACAGAGGGGGGACCCGGGGTGCGCCTTCCTTGGCGTGGCCTGGACCACGCGCCGTCCCAAGGCTCTGTTCTGTCCCCGCGTCGAGTTGCTGTGGTTTTGGGTGAGTGTCTCTTTCTCTCCTCCCAACTTCCTCTTCTTTTCCTTACATCACCTTTTCCTTCCTCCCATTTCTTTAGTCTTCTCCTGACTCCCAGTGACCCCCATGGCCATTGCTTATCTCCGTGGGGAGCCTAGGAGGTGGTGTATGCTGCAAGGAATCTGTCACGAGGGTTTTACAGAGGGAAAAGCAAATGCGAAACAATGGGACGCGTCCTCACAGCTCCACTCCCGCCACCGGCATGTGACTGTTTGTTCCAAGCTAATGTTTCCTTTTCACAGACACGGTTGTGTTGGGTACAGTTTTACTCCACCACACTGGGCTTATCACATCGCCTGCTTTTCTAAATCAAATCAAGTCTGACTTCACACTGCCAGTTGCCAGGGGCTGAAAGAGTCAAACTCCATCATTACAGGGTCTTCTTCCCTCCCTGCCCCAGCCCTTGGATGCCTTGTGCAGTCTAGAACATTTAGGGGGGGCCCCCTGAGAACATGAAAGCCTGGCTACCTTCTTAGAATAATAAAGGGAAGAAAATAAGAATAACCATAAAGTAACATCTTAATAAATTAACCCGTTGTGCAGTCCATGGAAAAGTTTACCTCTCTGCACAAAATGAGAGTTTCATGAAGTTTATCTTTAGAGGTGACTTTTTCAAGGCTCCCATTTTCCTGATATGTTTTGGAGCCACAGATCTGACCTTCCCCAGGGACATCTCTGTGGTAGATTTACTCAGCACAGACCCACTCAAGCAGCTTCCAACAAATCGCCAAAATGTGGCTGCATTTCTCTTGATTGCCGAAGGCTCCACATAACGATTGAAGGGTTGAGGTGTGTTCATAGCACTCTGCTCCTCAGGCAGTCGTGACACCCTACCATTTTAAGAATTAACTTCGGTTACGTGTAGATTACACATTCAGAAAATGTCCTACTCCAAGTCAGGAGCCTCTCAGCACACACTGTAATAAACCCATCAAGCGTTCCCACATCATTTATGTCAACCAGTGACTCTAGAACAATCCCTGCCTGGCAGAGTATCTGCACTAGAGAGGGAAAATTTATTAAATTGTAAAATCGCCTCAGTAGCTTTTCTACTTGTAAGGAAGCCCTGGAAGAGTCCAGAAGCAACGGCCTTACTCCAAAGTGGGTTCAGATGAGGCAGCGTTACACAGGTCAGAGCCAAGATGATTAACTCGCTCCATCCTGCAAAGTCTCTGACGTCAGTGAGCACCCAATCTCGTGTAAGATAAATGCATGCAAAGGAAAGCCTTCCTGGACCCAACTCCCACTGCCAGCACACACGCAAATCTCGTTTAGGTGGCTCCTGTGTGTGCCACACCTCCTCAACTATACACTTACCACGCGTGACTATAAGATCTATTTTATACAGCCTGTCTTCCCAACCAAACCAAAGCACCATGAAGATAGCTTAGTGCTCATTAGGTATTTGTTGGATGGATGGACAAATGAACAACAGGAAACCACTATACCAGGATCCATACGGGTTTCATTAAAGGGTGTCCAAGGAAGGACAGGAAAAATAAGTAGAATTTTTTGTAAGCAGAGGTGAGTAGGAGGGCTCTCTAGGTGGACGAAGCCCAGATATCACAGGAAGCACGTGGCAGGTGACCTTGGGAACAGTGGTTTTGTTTAAGTGTCGGGGCATCACGGGAGATGCAGCTGGGAAGTGGGTTTGGACCAGGCACTGCCAGTCTGAGGAACTTTGTTCTGCTCCATTCTTTAGAAGGTGGGCGCTGAGAGTTTTCTGAGCAGAAAATCTAGATGATGAAGACAACAATCAGCAGGATACACAAAAGCAAGCTGTTTTCCACAGGCAGTGAAGCTACGTTCTGAAATATTTTCGTTCTATTGAAGTCTGTTGAAATAGCCTTAACCTGGGGTGAAATGTACAATGTTTAATTCACATAGTTCTCTCCAACAAGTTAACCTGAATACCTTGTAAGGCAGGGAAAGATTTTTGCAATCAACCTTGAAAGGATGGATGGTTCCCAGAGGACCTGCCTCAGGAGTGAAGAGGCCATTGTTCTGGGACTTGGTTCTTTCGTGTATTGGACCCTGATGAAGAGATACACAGCTCTGTGGTTATAGGGTTTGGGTATAACATGCATACAGCTTCTTGAGTAGGTCCGCAGGTTGTAGCTGTAGCAACTTGTCAGTAATTCCCAGTGTCCGCCTGCTCTGGACAGCTGGTGCCCACAGTGTCCTCTCCATACATATTGGGGGGGGTGCCCTCTCTCTGACCATGAAAACGGCAGAGGATTAACCTCCCAGCCCTCTTCTAATGTGTGGATGAGGAGGTGAACCCTCTCTGTTGAAGATTTTTAGTTAAGTAAATTCTACCAGAGCAATTCTCAGAAATAACAGGAAAACACTGCAAGAATTATGCTAGAAGGGTTGCCTTGCAGGTGTTTGGATAAATGCACAGATGGACACACACACACATACACACACACACACACGCACATGCACGCACATACACACATACACACACACATACACACAACCTATTTTTAAGACATATCCCGCATTCACCCACTGGTGGTTGCCAGTGATCTTCATTCAGAAAAGCCCTGTGGCATCAGAGGAGGGAAGCAGCAGTTTCACTCCTCCTCTTTGATGGAAGAGGCAGCCAGGTGGAGCTGGGAAAGCTTTGGGTTTAGAGTCAGGGCATCTGAGTTCACCCTGAAGTCTTTCAATAGGTTTAATCATTAGTTAAACTCATACAGTAAGCTTCTAGATAGAGCCATTTACTCCACTTTGGAAGATGTGGGTTGGCCTGCCAGGAGATCCAAAATCTTAGGGAGCCAAAGTGACATCCAAATTGAGCCCCAGTTTATAGGGCTTGTCACCTCCAATTTCAAATAAATTGGAACCAAGAAGGAGTGCTTTCCTTTTCTTCCCATCTAAGGGAGGAGAGGAGATGCCTTTGGGAGTGGGCAAGTGATCTGCAGACAGGAGGAGAGCTGAACACACTGAGCTACACCCAGGGATCAAACAACTAACAAACTTAAGGAGAGACTACACTGGCATCTTCAGCCCCCAAATTGCCTTAAAAAAAAAAAAAAAAATACCGTAAGACTCAAAATAGTAAATGTAGCCTTGAGCATCAGGGTTTAAAAGAATGAAAGATAAAAAGAAAACAACTTTGGAGAGGAGGCAACCTGTGGTGGGAAGACTGAAACCACAGAACTGTTTTAAGCACAGGGCTCCACTTCTTAATGTAGACCACAAATTGTTTTAGCCTGTGATCAGACTCAGCCCCTGGGCTCCCAGGAGAAGGGCTTCCATGCGGGCCCAGCCCCGAGTGGCAGAGATGGGCTGGGAGGGGCAGTTAAGGAAAGAGAGGGAGTTCCAACTTCAGCTCTCTCCAGTCTGAATGAAATGCAACGCTGCCCCGTTCAGGTACGTAAGGGTTAAAAAAACGAGTGTGCCTTCTGGATACAGCTGGAAGCCATTAACAGCTCTGAGGCCATCTCAGTAACCCAGCTAGAGGGTGGGTGGCCTGGCAGAGATCCTGCATCCATGTACACGCACATAATCACAGGCTCCTGGCGCTGGGCGGGGCTTTGCTTCTACCCCCGCCCACCGTGGAAGCCCCTCCTCAGCCCGGCAGCCCCTGCTCCCACAGTCCCAGCCCTGTCACTGCTCACGGTTCCTCCAAGGGCAAATGCTATTGCTAGGAAGGTTCTTCTTGGCCACACCTTCCTCCATAGAAAGTCTACCCTTGAGTTCTAACTCTGCCCTCTGGTGACACAGCACACAACAGTCCTTCTTGTGGAGACAACTGTCACTTGCCTCCCAATTCTCTCTCCTTAGGGCACACGGCCCATTCCTGCCAGCCGTCCCTTCATCCGGTAGTTCCCAGGCCCCTCCGGAGCCTGCTTACTCCTTGCACTGTGCTCATGCTTCCAAGTCCCTTCTGAAGAGCAGGGCCCAGAACGGAATACATTCCCAGCTCGCAGGACATCAGGATAGTGTCATCTGGGAGACCTTTTCTTTCAGGAGTTTTTGAGAGAAAATCTTTTCAGGGAAGATGCAGCCGAACTTCCCTGTAGGTCCTGCCGTTAGAGCATCTCCCCACCGCACCCCTAGCAAGCTTTCAGCTCCAGGAAACTCGCCTACTATACTGGACAGCACTAGCCTGGCAATTGCAGTCACGAAGCCAGAAAGGACGGAGGGAAGAATGGATGAGCTTCCCCTGGGTGCTCGGCAGGGAGCTCCCAGCTTCCCACCAAGTGTTGAGCCAGATGAGAAAAGATCACGCCCATCTCATGGATCTAGGACCCATCCTCTGGAACTAAGACAAAAGACCACTTTCATTTTCTACCTCCCCTGTCCCAAGACCTTCCATCTCGCCCCACATCCCACATGGCACACAAGCACTCCAGCTCCTCCACCTGGCCTGGCCCTGCCTGTCCCACTCCTCCCGTGGGCTCCTACACAGAGCCTCAGCTGCAGCAGGCCAGCCTTGTCCCGGCCAGTCCTGACCCCAAGACCCATGCTCCCGTTTGCCTTTCCTGGGGTAGCTTTCCTTCCTCCTACAGGGTTGTCTGAGAGTTTTCCCTTCCCCTGGGCTAGCTCCAATGCATCTGAAAAACCAGGGCTCTCCAGCCATTGACTCCAGGTGATATTTCTGGTCACTGGAAGTGAATCATTTCCTGGAGTCCTCTTCAATTAATTGGTTGTCCAGATAAATACAGGAATGAGCCTTTAGTTTTTGCTCTCTTGCCATTATATGCAATGGATGGTCTCTGTTGTTTGTTTGGTCTGAGGAATATCCTAATTAATTACGTCTTTGCTTTCATTATATGGAAGGGATCTAGGGTCAGGCCAGGCCCTGGCTTTTAGCGATTAACTAAATGAACAGTTATGACCTAACAGAGTCACCCCATGTAAGCTGATACCACAAGGTGTAATTTTGACCTCATTTTATATTTTCAGCTGTGCCTCAGATCAACTGTGATGTCAAAGCTGGAAAGATACTCAATCCTGAGTTCATTGTGAAATGTCCGGCAGGATGCCAAGACCCCAAGTACCGCGTTTATGGCACGGACGCCTACGCTTCCTTCTCCAGCCTGTGTGCTGCTGCGGTTCACAGGTGGGTGGCTCCGAGCTACGCAACAGCGAGCAGTCATGGTGTGGGCAGGGAGCCAGGGCAGGGTGGCCTGATGTCGCAAGCAAAAATGTACAAATTTAACTGAGCACCCTGCATTTCACCTGGCACCCCTACCCCATGAGGTTCTGCAGGAGCCGCGCGTGGTCCTGGATCTCCTCTCACAGTGCTCTGTGGATAGGACGACTGACCTCTCTTTGTGCCTGAATGAAGACATTCGTAACAAGGAAACCAGAGTTCTTGATGATGTAAAGCACTTTTTGTCCCACCTGTATGTGCTGAGCAAGGAAGTAGTAGGGTTGAGACTAAGGCCCAGACGTTTGGAGAAGAAATGTCTCAGCTGTGGCGATGGCCCGAGATAGTGGAACGGGGGGGG